ATTTCCGATTCGAGGCAGGAAAGGGAGGATGGCGAAGAAACGTTCCTTTTAAAGGGATCGAGCCGGAAATGTTCATGTTTTTCGGTGTCTTGCGCTCTCACTCCCTTTTTCTCAATCTCTCGCTCTCTCTCTCTCTCTCTCTCTCTCTCTCTTTCTAAGCAATTTTTTACAGATTTCATCCACCGCAAGCGTACCTGACGCAAATCAAGGGCCCGCGGATTAATTAACCGATCATGGGAGTCCAAAACGGCCGTCTAATCTCGGGCTCCATTGAAAACGGCTGAATGGGCGATCGAGCAATTCTAGAATATTCATCGCAATTTCACTTTTTTTAACCGTGTTTCTTGCTCTAATCGCCAGGAAGCGTGATTTGCTTGATTTTCAAGCTAAATTTGAGCGCGGCTTGGATTTTGGTCTCTATAGGAGGCGAGAGAACGAGAAAAAGAGTGCGAGGTAGGGAGAAGAGCCTAAGAGCGAGAACGAGCAGGAGAGCCAGAATGGACGAGAGAGCGAGCACGAGCGAAAGAACGACCAAGACAAAAGGCGAGAGAGCGAGATGGATTAACTAATAGTGAGAGAGAGCGAGCGAGAGACGGATAGAGAGAGCGAGAGAGAAAGAGCCAATAGATATAGGAAATTTTACACAAATTCTAGTACATTATCTTGCCTTACTCATCCCTTTTACCCTATCTTCGTAGTTTATTGAGGTTTTTTCAATATCCCACATTTATAGGCTTCAAGCTGACGAGGGGATTTTGGTGTGTGTGGGTGATCTTAGAGATGGCTAATCCCTTCCCCCTCCCCCTCGTCAATGTGTTCCCGGACCACCCTAATTTCCAATCTTTCTTGGGCCCCGGGCCATTTTTCGGTTTGTCCTCATCCCCCCCCCCCTCTGGGTGTGGGGCGACAAGTGTCCCGATTGGATTAGCGGCAACTGGAAGAGGACGGGGGCTTTGGTGTGTATGTGTATGTGTATTTGTATCTCTCTCCCTCTCGCTCGACCTCACTCTCCATCTCTCGCTCTCGGTCTATAAATATTACGACCCGGCCCCGCCCCGGCGTGCTCGTTTCCGCCCTCCAATTGACTCACAAATTTGACCGCCCAGATTTTGAGTAGCGTTTTTGTGTTGTCTACTACGTGACTGAAGCTGAATAGATACTATCAAGCCCAGTTAAAAATTTGCTGGCACCATCCCTTTAAAATCCGAGCTAATTTTAGGATTTTCTACACGTTGATATTTGACACTCGCTCCTTTATATGAACCGTCAAGCTCTCTTTAAAAACCCTCGTTCCAAATTGCTCCAACTAGCGCTCCGTTAAAAACCAGCTGTCACCTCCTCTTTAAAGGAACGGACATAGAGGAGATCGAGACAGTATAGCGCTCTCTCTCCCTCTCTCTATCTCTCACTGTCTCGCTCTCTCTCTCCTTCTTGTTCCATCTAGCTTCCTCTCTCTGTCTCTCCTTCTTTCTGTCTCTCACTCGCTCTCTCTCGCTCTGTCGCTCTCTCTATTCTCCGCGCGCGCTCTCGCTCTCTCACATCATCTCTCTCTCTCTCTCTCTCTCTCTCTCTCTCTCTTTCTCCGTCTCTCTCTTCATAGTTTGTCTTGAGTAAATTCATAGCGTTGAAATCTTAACATGTCGATAGTCATGATGTGGAAATTTACATAAGTAAATTCTAGGAAAACCCCCAATTTCTACGCAAAAAATGCCGACATATTGAACTTTCGACTTTCTGAATTTCAACACGCCGATATCTAAACCACTCCCTTAAACCACGGACTCATAATCGGAGTAACTTCTCTCCGGGGCGACCTTTCCGGAGTTCCCGGTCCTCCCCAGGGGCCCGTTGTCACACACATCACTGCCCAATTGTGTATGTGTGTGTATGTGGCAATTCCCCGGCCCGAAGCCCCCAAAAAAACGGCCAGCCAAAAGCGGCAAAGACGCGAAAACGCGCGCGGCCACCCGGCGGAAACGGGCACTCAACCCCAATGAGAAAATATTAAGGAAAAGGGGGGTGGGGGAGGATGGGGCCCCCGTTTTGGGACACACCCCTGCTTTATCGGGTAGGGCCACACACACGTGTTTTTCGACTTGGCCCCATCATCTTGAATCTTTCATACCGAGGGCTAGGGCCCCTTGAGTTTCGCCCGTTCGTTCCGGGACCCCTCTTTGCCAATTTCCCGGAATTTCCACCTGCGATGACAAGCTTTTGAAAGCTGCAAAATCTCGTTATCTCTCTCGAACTTGCATTCTCTCGCTCTCGCTTTCTCTCACTCGCTCTCGCTCGCTCGTTTCCTCTCTCTCGCTCGTTCTCTAGCTCTCTCTCTCTATCTCTCTCTCTCTCCCTCTCTCCCTCCTGTCCCTCTCTCTCTTTATCTCACTGTCTCTCTCTCCCGCTATTTCTCTCTTTCTCTCTTTCTCGCTCTTTCTCTCGTCCTCAACGCTATGCAAGCCGTCCTCCTTGAAGTCGTTGGAACTCAAAGTACATTGACGACTTAAGCCTGCGCAATGATCAAGTTCCAAATTCCCCTGAATCTCCTCTGGAAACCCCCCCTTTTTTTTTTTTTTGGAGGTATCAGCCTCCTGCGTGTGTGCAGAGCAGCTGAATCCGAGGGCCCAGTTCATCAATCTGGGCCCCCGAAGGCCACACCGCCCACCTTTTTGTTTTTTCTGGAAGCGAGGGGGGATTTGTTTCAAAGAAGAGAGAGAGAGAGAGAGAGAGAGAGAGAGACAAGAGAGAGAGAGAGATTCAGAAGACGTGGATGGAGTCCGAGACTTCGACCCATTCCTTCCTATTCCTTCCCCCTAGGGATTGACAGGAAGGAGGGTTGGCTGTGTTGCCCGGGAGGGGCTTCTCCCATCCCTGCCGATCATGTTTCTAGTCAGCATCCTCGGGCTTTTCCTCCTTTACCCGCCCTACCCTTGTTGACCAGCTGGCCGGCCGGCAAACAAGCATCCCGTTTTTTTCGGTGCCCTTCTCCTGCATTTTAAAGGGAGCGGGAAGCAATGTTCTCCCTCACTGCCTCTCTCGCTCTTTCTCTCTCTCCCTCTCGCTCTCTCTCTCTATGTCTTTGGCTTACTCTCTCTTCCTCTCTCTCGCTCGGTTTCTCTCGTTCCAGCCAATACAGGAAATTCACAATTCGTTCTTGTCACGAAATTCACAATTTCCAACCTTCCCTGTGCCTTTGAATCTGGTTCAATGTTTTTCTCTTGCTCCTCCACCACTGGACGTCTTGAACTTGTTCTTAAAGCCAGATTACCGCCTTTTTCAGTTTTTAAACGAATTGCCGTCTTCAGAGCATTTTTCCAGCAAATTTTTGACTTGTTTTTGACCCTTTAAAACAATCCCGGTGGAATTTTTTGAAGAAATTTTAGGACGTCTTGAAATGTTGCAAAAGTTTTTTGTGCTTTTTCCATTTCCTTTAACGGAACAAAAACTTTAACAGTTTCTAAGCAATTTTCTGCCTTTCCAGCCCCTTTAAAACCGATTGTGCCTTTGAACTCCGCATTTCCAACATTTCACTGACTTCCCAGCCCCTTTAAAATGCCGCCTGGAAGGGTGCCAGAATTTCTAGCCTCCAAAAATTGTCAGTTTGTCGATTTGCCGGCCCGGAAAGCCGAAAATCCGGTAGATGGCAACAGTTGTTGTTTGTTGGGGGGTGTGGGGGGATGGTAGGGTAGATGCCAGGAGAAGCAGTGACATGAGACCCTCAGACAACTGTCCGCCACTAACCCGAGGCCCCCTGCGACTACGCGACGATACCCCCCGCTGACGGGCTGATCGAGGCGTTCTCTTCTTTTTGTCAGATCCCTGGCCAGCCGGGCGGCCCGACAAATTGGCTGATGAAGTGGGTGAGGAGGCGTGATTGGGGGGGGGATGGGGCCACTCATTTGTTCGAGGTGTCCTGATCCCAATCAGCCACTTTTGGGCGGAGGGAGAAGCGGAAAACAGATGCCTTCAATGGTCCTTTAGAGGGGAATGACTAGTGCGGCTGGTTGAACGCGTTGCGGGCGTGTAGCGTACATTGATTTCTGACTGTCTCTTACTTTCTCCGTCTGTCTCTCTCACTTTCTATCTCTCTTTCCTCTCTCACACACACTCTCTCTAACACTCTCTCGCCAGGTCTATCGTTTTTCTCGTTTACAAGCGAGCAATAACGCTCCGCAACGGACCGTTGCGTGTTGACAAAACTACTCTCTCTCTCTCTCTCTCTCTCTCTCTCTCTCTCTCTCTCTCTCTCTCTCTCTCCCCCTCGCCGTGTACTTGTTTCTTTTCGAAAATTGATTCTTTATTCGGCACCCTCCAGAATTGCGAGATTGCCCTCCTTGGTGGGGCTGGAATGTGCAGCCCCTCTCTTTCCCGTTCGCATGGCAACCCCATCAGCGACCAGGAGCTATTTTTGGGGGTGGCCTGAGTTTCGGAAACCTAAAATTATCAGGGTACAGGTGCTTTTACGAAAATTCTGCTTTCCTCAAAAATTTTTGATGTTTTGGGCGGAAGTGGCTATTTTTATTGCGAACTCCTTGAGGGATTCCGTCAATTTTTTCGTTTTCTCTCGACTCTTATCTTATCGAGACTTTTAACCATCTACTTCTCTCGCAATCCTCGCTATTTTATGCTCTTTTCGCTGATTTTATAAACTCAGGGCTTTCTAAAGTTCCATTTTGGATGTTTTGCCTTTCCTTTGCTAATAATTTCTAAATTTATATATATTTTAATCTAATTTTTTTAAATTTAGCTTTTCAGCTCGGCCTATTTTCCCTCGTTCTCTCTCTCTATCTCTCTCTCTCTGTCTCGCGCTCTCTCGATCTCTCACTCTCTCTCTCTCTCTTGCCCTCACTTTCTCTCGCATCGTGCCAATCGAATTCTTTTTAAATGATGTTTTTCCAGGTCCAAAAAGCGCGCGGCCCAACCAGAATTTCTCGGGGCGTCGTGCCCTCCTCCTCCTCCTCCTCCCCTCCCCCCACTAGCCGCATTAATAGCACGAGGGGCTGATGGATGTTGAGCCGGAGCCGGATCTGGAGGCGAATTGCGGCCGGAACAACATCAGCTGCGCATGCCATTTCCAGTATGAATACTATCGACCCGATGATCGGATAACGCTCGGTGGGTGTCGAGTTGGGGCTCGAATTAGGCGTCGTAACACTGCAGATCTTAGTTAACTATGCTAAATTTCAATTTTTAATCCCCCGATTTTTTCAGGCCTAATCGCCCTCCCCATCATGGCCTTCGGGATTTGTGCGAATTTGACGAGCGTCCGGATATTTACACATAGGTATGGGCAGTTTTATCTTGCTCTCGTTCACGTATTCCCTCTCACTCTCTCGTTTTCGCTCTCTCTCTCTCTCTCTCTCTCTCTCTCTCTCTCTCTCGCTCTCCCTCTCCCTCTCTCTCTATCGCTATTTCTTTCTCTATATGCTTGCTGGCCTTTTTTGCTCTCTCTCGCTCTCTTGCTCAATCGCTTTTTCTTGCTCGCTCCTGCTCTCGTCTCTAGCTCCCTCTTGTGCTATCTCACCTTCCTCACTCTCTATGACTCTCTCTCCCTCCTTCTCTATTCCTCCTTAGCTGTTGCCCTCTCTATTATTTTCAATCGCCCCAATTCTCTCTCGCTCGCTGTCTCTCGCTCTCATACTTTCTCTCATGCTCTCTCTCCATCATGCTCTCTCTCACCTCACACTCTCGCCCAATTTAAAGCAACCGGCAAGGCGCCACTTATATTTTTTTTACTTATGGATAGCCAATGGGTGCTTCCAAGCCCGTGACACGTCTGGTAAAAAAATCAGAACCCATTACGCCATTAAATGACGAGAGTACGTGCACGCCGCGTGTCGTCGGAGCGCATAATCCTATTCTTTCTGGCGCCTTTAAAAGCCTTATGATGCCGCTAAAACTTGATTCCAGATTAATGTCGTCATCTTCGATCAATTGGTACTTGGCGGCGCTGTCGGTCAGCGACACGATCATCCTCATCGCGTCGTTTGTCGTGCTGTGCGCGCCGCGGTTGGCAGAATATTTGACCATGTGGAAGGTCGGGTACTGGAGGTAATTTTTAGGTTCACTGAGCGAAATTAAAGCAGATTTTGACTAAAAGTTATCCGCCTTTTTTTAATCTAAAAATGCATGTTTTTTGCCAAAAACTGTAAATTTTCGTGTCAAAAATCGAGGTTTTTTGTTGCATAAATTGCATTTTTTCCAGCTATCTCGCCACCCCAATAATGTATGGAATCATGACGATAGCGCAAACGGCCAGGTGAGCATGAGATAGTGTGCGATAAAATTATGCAAATTTCAGCGTCTACTTGACGGTTGGCGTGTCGGTGCATCGATATATAGGCGTGTGTCATCCCTATAAAGCGCCACAATTATTGCCAAAAAGTGAGTTTTTCACTCACCGTCTCTCTCTCTCTCACTCGCTCTCTCGCTCTCTCTTTCTTTCCCTAACTGTCGCTCTCTCCCTCCCTCACACGCCAACCCTATTTTTCAGAACGGGTCGCCTATGTGATCATCGGGATCATTGCCTTCTCCATTCTCTTCAACATTACCAGATTGTTCGAGGTGAGTAACAGCGTTTTAAAGGGACTTGGAAACTTCAGAATCGACCCCTCACTACTAGGTCTAGACAGCTACGTAATGCCCCACTCGGTCGATTTTCAGGTGAACGTCTCGAACGTGTGCTACCGCGTGAACATCGACTACTACATGCCGCACTTGATCCCGACGTTGCTACGACAAGCGAACATGTACAAGCTGGTGGGTTTGGAGAGGGGGAAAGAGAAAGATAGAGACAGAGAGAGAAAGAGAGCGAAGAGAGAGAGAGAGAGAGAGAGAGAACGTGAGGGAGAGGCATCGTTAAATTCCAGATCTTCCACGGCTGGATGCACACGTTGATCATGTTCATCGTGCCCTTCTTGCTGCTGATCGGCTTCAACTCGATGGTGCTGCACGCGGTGCGGAGAAGTCGGAGAATGCACGCGGCGGTACGTATTGGAAGCTTACGCTTAGCTTTTGGTTTAGGGTCAGGCTTAGCTTAGGCTTAGGCTTAGGCTTATAATGCGTAGGCTTAGAAGCTTTTATTTCCGATTCTCACAACGTCAATTTTTCAGGGTGGCGGCGAGAGTGACGAAATGTCAAAGAAAGCGGAACGGAAGGAGCGGCAAACATCTATCATGCTGGTGAGTCGATTCCGGCGTTTTCAAGGGGTTCAAGGATCGATAATTTTTTCCAGTTTTGTCTTTCCCAGTTTTTGGGTGTCTCTTACGTACCCAGATCCACATTTTCAGGTGGCGGTCGTGATCCTGTTCCTCGCCTGTAACACGCTGTGCTTCATCAGCAACATCTACGAGAACCTGGAGATACCGCTCGAAGTCCTCGTCACCACCAGCAATTTTTTGGTGGGTTTTCCAGGGCTAACAATAAATTTTTTCGATTATAGATCTGCGAAGAAGGTTTAGCTGTTTAAAAGAAGCGTAAGAGCCTGGCAAAAAGGTTATTTAAAATTCAAAAAATCGATTGTTTTGTCAGCTTTTGTAACTATCTTGGATGAGCGTTCTTCCTGAAATCCATAAATTTGTAGCAGAAACACCAGTAAAACACTGGTTATTTTTCTTTCTAGACATATAGAAAAAACTCACCCCCCCGATAATGCAAAAGAACCCGGAACTACCGTACAATTTTCAGGTGATCATCAACGCCTCCGTGAACATTTGCATCTACATGCTGTTCTCGGAAAAATACCGGTTGTTGCTGCGACACTATCTGTGCTGCGACTGGAGTCGACAGGGCGAGATGCTGCTCAACTCCGTCATGGCATAGCAGACGTTACTCACCATGTCTAATTTCTTGGGGTTACGGTTACGAATTTATCGAGGCGTAAAAGTAAAAATTTTACCAGAAATTGAGTTTATCCATAAACATCCGATTTTGCCCTCGAAATTCTTACCATATCGCCCCGCCACCAAAAATCCAAAGCCAAACAAAAATCAGATTTCCCGCTTCGCCCACCCCTTTTTTGTGATACTCACGAATGCGCTTTAAAATTGGTATTTGACCTTGTTTTTATACTTTTTTTTTTGCGTATTTTTGAATTTGTTTGATCGCGCATGGCAATTGTGGATCGCTACTCCGGGTACAAACTCCTTTTCCGCCCCAATCCCCTATTTTTTGGATGTCCTCCGCGAACGTTTTCTTCGGTTTTATAGCCCAAATAAAGAGCATATATATTTGATGGAAAATACACAGAGAAAGAGAGACAGCGAGAGAGAGAGAGAGAGAGAGAGAGAGAGAGAGAGATGAAAGATACGAGGTGATACGGGGTGTACGATACGATACACACTGCGGTCTGGCAAGCTAGAACCATGGTACCTTACGCTACGTTACGTTACGCTACGGTACGTGGCCCCACATCACGATACCTTATGGAACAATACAGTCAATCGCTAAGCCACAGTACGAGACCTTACAAAAGTACGGTAGGATACAACAGCAAGATACTGTACGTTTTTGGAAGCTACACACGAGAGAGAGAGAGAGAGAGAGAGAGAGCGCGCGAAAATGAGTGAGAGAGAGGCGATGTTCCAAAATGTGTGGGCGATTGCTGGATGATGTGCCCCCCAGATCCAAAAATGGCCCACGAACCGAAAATCTGGCCACCCGTGAGTCAGGATAGCACCTGACCGTCCTGCAGCCCCGAATTTCACGTCATTCCCCAGCCCAAACCCAGAATTTCCGGACCCAGCGGATGACGTTCCTTTTTTGTGTATGTGAAAGACCCTCGATCCAGCCCGAGTGGATAGATGGATCGCCCCGGGTGGGCCGAGCACGGAAAGCTGCGCAAATTTTGTCTCGAACAGGCTCTAGTCGACCCCCTCCGCGACATTGGCGCCATGATGTTGAACTGTGCTTTCAAAATCGGGATTTAGGTACGGTCTAGTTTGGCCTAGCTTGGGCTTAAGCTTAGGCTGTTTTTAGATGGGCTTAGCTTGGGCTTAAGCCTCGTCAGGACAATCGGCGACTTGGCGATTTTTCAGACAAAGCGAATAGGCTAGGCGTGACCTGAACAACATCCAAGTCTAGGCCCAAGCCTTAACCTTAACTTATTCAAGCTAAGGCTAAGCCTGTGAAGCCCAAGTCAAAACCAATCTCAAGCGAAGCCGAATCGTAATCTAAGTTCAAGCGAGGCCGAGCCTAGACAAAACCCAAGCCTGTGCAAACGTAAGCTAAGACGAGTCCTAAGCCTACGTCAAAGCCTAAGCGTAACCTAAGACAGAATACGACTTAGCTAAGTTAAGCTACGTTACGGCTAAGCCTCTAGCTTAAACTAAGCAGAAGTTAAGTCAAAGCCTAAGCCGAAGCCTAAAGTTAAACCCGACCCGAAGCCAAGCCCAAGCCCGGCCTAAGCCTAAGCTAAGCCTACGCTAGATCAGACTCTCTTAGTCAGACCATTTCATCCTCCTGCAAAAATTGGCCAGTGCCACCCACCCCATCCGACCCCACTGACATATCTTGGGCCCGCCACCACGAGTCGACCTGCCCGAATTTGCTCAGCCGGCCGGTGTGGAAGTTGTAGCGGCCGGAAAACGGTTTTGGCCGGACGGGCGGTCGAAATGACGGGTGTGTGGGCAGCAGGGGATAGTATAAAAGTGGACTGTGGGTGGGGGAGGATACTCTTTCTCCGGGGTCTCGCCATGCATCCCGTCCACCTCTTCTGCTGGGCCCTCGTCGCCGTCAGGTTCGGTTTTTATTACCGTACCTCGGGAGTTGTTGCGAATTCCTCAATAATCTCCGCTGTTTTCTTTTTCGGTCTAAGTCTTCAAAGAATCGCTGCTAGCCTGCCCTAGATTCTAAATTTCCTAAGGGTCCTGCTAGCCTGTTACTGCGATGGATTCTCAAAGAATCTCTGCTTGCCTGCCGGGCCGAGCTAATGACAGACAGCCAGAGAGAGAGAGAGAGAGAGAGAGAGAGAAAGAGAGAAAGAGAGAAAGAGACAGAGACAGAGAAAGAAATAACCTCTGGCTCCTCATATCATTTATTTTTAGCAGCGCGCAGACGACGGCGAAGTCATGCTCGGACCTCCAGACAACCGTCACCGCCGCCATGAAGGAGGCGTTCGCCCAGATTATCCTTGCCCAGCAAAATCAGCTGATTACCAGTAAGTTATCGATGTTGAAGGGGCTCGCAAGCCGTGATATTCATGCCGAAATCGGTCCCAATTTCTGGATGTCTTTGCGAAGGCCTTTTATAATGATCGCCCAATTTAATGCCATAATCGGATTCAATAAAACTCTGAAATTTGTTGATGAAGTGACGTACTCCAACTGTACTTCTAGGCGATGTCGTCTCCTCACAAAAAGCTGACCCCGATGCTCAGGCCAAGCAAACCCAAGGAGACACGATGCAGCGCGCTACCGAGCTCCTCGTCGCCCAGTGCGGAATTGATGTGAGTTTTTGGGACTTATTGACACTTTATTTAATACATACACATAAATTGGTAAAGCGAATTTACAAGCCGATCCCCTATAATAAAACCTAAACAAAGTTAACTAACACTCGTTCAGATTCTGACCTCAATTTCGGACGCGAACCTCGACACCGAGGCGATTTTCGTCGCAGTCCAGGGCTCGACGGTCCGATCGAAGCGATATGTTGAGTGAGTTATTTCTGCTATTTGCTCTCATATTGTCGAAATTTCAGAATGTTCGAAAATTTTTATATGTCGGCATTTTTGCCTAGGTCGGGGGTTTTCCCGGAAAATTGCTTATGTAAATTTCGGCATGATGAATTTCGACATTCCAAATCTTGAGATTTTGAAAGCAACCCGTAATTAATGGATTACAGGAAAATGGATTTTCGATATTTTTTTGACATTTTGAAAACGTTTCGAGAAAAACAATATTTTAATAATGGGCTTTCTAGACCTTAAAATTTAAATTTCATCTTTTGTTGTAAAAAACTCTCAAACCCGCAGCGCGTGCTACAGAAAATTTTAAAGAATGGTGAAAGCAAAAAACCCTCAATTTCAGTGGACCAACCGGCTCCGACTCGGCCTGCCGCCAGAACACCCCCTGCCAGCCAAAGTGAGCAGGAAAACCCGAGTTTTTTGGAATAATAAAATTCTGCATCTAGAACCATTGATTTTGCCAGTCGATACTACTCGAAAAAATTTTTCTACTTCTTTTCCGTGTGCCCTATTATTTCAATCTTTTAGCGAGCCATACCGCCGCATCACCGGCGACTGCAACAACCTGCAGTTCGCGAAGAATGGCGCCTCGCTGAACCCGTTCGCCAAGCTCGCCAAGCCGGTGTATGATGACGGTAGGTTCTTTGGCATCAACGGGGGGACCTAATTGTCTCGAAGCATCCAATTTTAGTAATTTGAATAGAATGATTTTTACTAACAAATACAAAAAATTGCGATTTTTCGACCAAAATTCTAAGTTTTCGTTGTCCCCCTTGAAATATAACTTACTTTTGCTAAAAACACTACTGAAATACTTACTATCAACTTACTAGGGTTACTATCAAATTTTGACTTCTACCGTCCTTTAAAACCGTTTTTCCAGGAATTGGCGCCATCCGCGCTAAATCCGTGGTCGCCGGCCAGGCTCTCCCCTCGGCCCGCGTCATCTCGAACAAGATCTTCCAGCAGGTGAGTGTCATCCATAAAAAAAACATTTTACTCCAAAAACGAAAAATTTTGCGCAGCCGGGGATTGAACCCTCGCCTATGGATTGGTGGGCGCGGATGCATACCAATTCGCCACCTGGAAACAAGGCAAAAATGTCCCCGGGCTGTTTTGAAAACTAGCTAAAAACCTTTCCCAAATTCGCAACCTTTCAGACCGATCTGTACCCCGTGGACACCGCCGGTCACTCGCACATGCTCATGCAATTTGGCCAAATTATCGCCCACGACGTCGTGCTGACGCCCGGATCGACAGGTTGGTTTTGAGGGGTTGGGTAGAATAGCGTACTGTAGCGTACAGTAGCGTAGTGTACTGTACGGTTACTGTACTCACCATTAAATTTAGGCACTAATGGTTCGTCGCTGGACTGCTCGATCTGCGATGTGAACATGAGGGACAAGAATTGCGCGCCGGTTGATGTTCCGACAGGTGGGAGAGAGAGAACGGGAGAGAAAGAGAGAGAGATAGCGAGAGAGAGCGAGAGTGAGAGTGAGATAGTCAGTGAGTGAGAGTGAGAGAAAACATGTGTGAGAGAGGGACGAGGTGAGAAGAGAACGAGAGCGAGAGAGAGCGAGAGAGCGAGAGAGATAGGGAGAAAGAGAGAACGAGAATGTGAAAGAGTGATAGAGCGATCAGTAATACTCTTTTTCAGGCGACCCCTACTTCAAAACGGCCTGCTTCAAGTTCACCCGTGCCCTCAACGGCCAAACCAAAGTCGGCCCCCGCATCCAGATCAACCAGGTTTACCCAAGGCCTTTTTCAACCCCTTCCCTGCCCTTGTAGAACACCCACTTCCTCGACCTGTCCATCGTCTACGGGAGCAACATGTGCGACCACAACAAGCTGCGCACGTTCGCCAAGGGGCAGCTGAAGACGCAGAACACCAACGGCTACACGATGGTCCCCACCGATCCGGCGGTCAGTTTGGGGTTTGAGAAATGGAACTAAGCTTGTCGTTGCAGGACCCGAACTGCCACTCGCAGCCCACCTACCCGTGCACGTTGTCCGGCGACTTGAGGACGTCGCTGCACCCTGGCCTCTACCCCGCCCACATGTACTTCATCCAGGAGCACAACCGGGTGAGTACCGTAGTATTGTCAGAGAGAGAGAGAGAGAGAGAGGGAGAGAGAGAGAGCGAGAGAGAGATCGTGAAAGAGAGTGAGAACGAGCAGTGTCTAGCGCCAACTACAGTACGAAAGACACCTCTTTACACCTACATGTTCAGATCGCCGCCAACATCACTGCCGCTCGCCCCGCTTGGCCTGATGAGCGCATCTTCCAGGAGACGCGCCGCATCATCATCGCCGTCTACCAGCAGTTCGTCTACAAATTCTACCTCCCCAAGATCCTCGGCACCACGTTGATGACCAAGGTAGCCACCTACTTTCATGCTCAACCTCCAATTTTTCAGTACGGCTTGAACCCGCTGACCAGCGGCTTCTTCACCGGATATGACATCAACGTCGACCCGTCGGTGATGGCCGAGTTCGGCACGAACGCCTTCCGCTTTGGCCACTCGGAGGCCAGGAGTGTAAGTTGGAGCTTGACGGAAAATATCGCCCCGATTCCAGGACTTTGCCCGCGTGTCCAACACGAACGTGACGGTCGGCACGCCGGTGATGCTCGGCGAGAACATCTTCTACCAGGACCCCATCTACAACAAGACTGCCCAGCAGTACGAGTCGATTGGACATGGTCAGTTGGTAGAAGGTTTGAAGGTAGACCACTGTCTCTCTAGGCCTGATGTACTCCCAGCAGATGGCCGTCGACAACCAGTTCTCGTTCGACATCCGGAACCGCGTGTTCGAGATCCGCAACAAGTCGGTGAGTGAATAGCGGTTATCGGGATACGCCAAAATGCCGACAGCCAAAATACCGAGGCCCAAAATATCGACAGAAAAATGTTAACAATGGGATTTTTGCTGCCCCCCGCTAAGAAACCAGAACTGCCATATTACCAGTTTTATATTGATTTATGTTTATCCCCATTTTCCAGGGCTCCGGCATCGACCTTCCGGCGACGAACATCCAGCGAGCTCGCGACTTCGGCGTCGGCCCGTACAACCAGTACCGCGCGCTCGCCGGCCTCAAGAAGGCCACCACCTTCGACGATTTCGCCGACGCCATGACCACCGCCAAGGTGGGTGTCATTTTCGGAAAAATTGCTCACTTCTATTTTCCCTCTAAACCGCGAATAAACTCAATATTTAGATCAACCTGCTGAAGACGGCGTACGCCAACCCCGGAGACGTCGATTTGTACGCCGGGCTCGTGATGGAGACGCCGCTTTCAGGAGCTCTGGTAGGTGCTTTTGAGAATGAGATCTTGATGTTGATTCATCACTATAAGAAAAAATTTTAGCTCTAAAAATTAAGTTGAAAATTTCAGCTTGGCCCCACCGCCGGCTACATCATCGGGCTGCAGTTCCAGAACCTGAAGAAGGGCGACCGCTTCTACTATGAGAACCAGGTGCCGAACAGCCGAGGGCTGACAGCTGGTGGGTAATCGTTTATAACAATTTATTTTGATATTTTGAGAGCTCTATTTTTTTAAAACTCCACTGCAGACAGAATACGCGCAAAAGCGGGCTCATAGCTTTTTTCCTGTACTCCCAAATGCCTAGTAACCTATTTTTACAAGTATTAGCAAAATGAAATGATATTTGAAGTGCGAAAACAATAAAAAAAACCTCTAGAACAATTTTAGGCAAAATCTTGGTCAAAAATCGGGCATTTTGCTCGACGAATCGATATTTTTGATGTTTTTCGCTAACAGTTTGTAAAGGTTTTACGCTTAGGAATAGTAAAAAACAGTTAGAAACAGTTCCTCTATTTATATTCCGAAGCTAAGCTCACGGTTTTTAGAGGAACTCGCCGCCGTGCGCGCCTACGACATGCGGTACATCTTCTGCGCGGGATCCCCCACCACCACCACGATCCCCAAGGATATCTTTGTCTATAAGTAAGGGCTTTTCCGAATTTTCGGATCCGAAACCCAAAAAACTTTTTAATTTCCCCGATTTTCAGCTCCGCCTCCGAGCCGTGCACAAACCTGAAGCCGATCAACCTCGCCCCATTCCTGCCACCCAACTAGGAGCCGATACACGTGGTTAGGCAACGCGTCAATAATTTAATAAATGGTGCCATCGTAATAAAGCATAAAAACGATCGTTAAACACAGAAAACTACATGAATTTATTTTGCCGATCGGCGCGCACACAAAAACGAGGATCAGATAAATTTGAAGAGCTTCTCGTCGTGGTGCTTGATGTACGACATGACCGTGTTGTAGCATAACTGAAAAAAGGGGAGGATCAATGGTTTCTAACTGGTAAATCCTTAAAAACCATAATTTTCCAATCGTTTCCAGCCAACTTTAAATGACCCGCACCTGGATGACGTTCGTGTACAGCACACGCCACTGGTTCGGCAAGAACCTGAAATTGGCCATTTTGCGGCGAAAATCAAAAAATTATATACGAAACGCCAGTTTAAACACTTTAACTTTATCATCCAATTAGCAAATGCCATGCGGTTGGGGCATTATTTGTATTCTAGACCACTAATTTGGTTGTAAAAAAACCTCTGATACGTTACATTGCTAATTACGATGTATTATTCATTCAATGTTTGTTATTTTACGCTGTACTTAGCAAAAATGCTAGTTGCTGCCTGATAAATACCCACCAAAAGTTGATGAACTGGAACGGGGGCCAGGTGCACAGGTCGAGGATGAAGATTTGCGGGTACTTGGTGCAGTACTCCTTCACCGCCGAGCGTAGCGTTTTCCCCTCCAGCAGGGCTGTCTAAAGCGAAATACGTTATTGCAAAGCCTTGCAAGGGACCATGACAGTTGCGCAACGACGTTTGAGCAACTGGGGCAAAACGACGTTTGGGCAACCCCCGTTTTCCCGCGTTCACTAAGAAATCATTGTTGCTCAAATGTCGTTTCCCTCGAGTTACTAAAACGTCGTTGCGCAACTGTCATGGTCCCCCCTTGCAAGCTAGGTTTTGCTTACTATAATTTATACACTTTTTTTTACCCCGATGATCGTCGTCCCGGAAAACATGGGTGCGGTGGCCGTGTCGAGGAACACCTTCTGCAGCACGATCGAAAGGCGCCCACCCCTAGAATGCGCGGTTTTCAGGAGGAGCTCCTAGAGTCCTTCTACCAAATTAAGGCAAACGGCTAGGAGAAGTTTTGCGAGCTGTTTAAAAAACTAACACTATCTAACCAACCGATATTTGACGTTAAAGTCCATCCAGCGGTACAGATAGTAGAGCATCGGCCCCTGCAGCAGCCCAATCGATGCCATGCGCGCCGTGCGCATCCGGTCCCACGGCTTCGTCGGGTCGCCGGGCACCCACTCCTTGTGCATCAACTGCTGCAGGATGTCGCCGCCGCCGAGCGTGCAGATGCTGCCGCACGTGTTCACGAGCAGGGCAAGCCTGGATTTTCGGGTTCCAAATTCTAAATGGCTCCTCCTCACCGCTGATTCTTGAACGCTCGCCCGATCACACGATGCGACTTGATCAACGCCACGTTCTTGTAGGTTTTTACGTAAGACTGGATCGCCATTTTCTAAAACGAATTCAACAAGCTCAAGCCAATTCAAACATCACCCACAGTTTCTCCTCAATAAAGCCGCCGATACCAATTAACAAGCGAGTAGCAAATGAGAATGGTCGGGGTGTGGCGATGAAATGTGTGCGGAATTCCAACGTTTGCATTCAAATTTCTAACATTTATTAATCACCGATGGTTCTGTAAGCCCGAGTGTGTGTATAATTCCAGGGAAAAGACACAGAAGATAGCGGTCACCGATTGAAGTAGCAAGTAAAGCAAAGCCAAGTGCACAATTCTAAACAATATGCAAAAACACGGTTGGCGGTAAATTAAGGGCGCTTCCACTGCTCGCGCTGGAGAATCATCTCGACCGCGGCGAAGAGGTCGGGCTCGACGAAGCCGGGCATCTAGAAAATGGATGTAGTAAAGGATCTTCTATTTTTATTAACATAGTGCACCCTCTTTAATTATAAAAATATCAAAAAGATGGTAAAAAATCTAGCTTTTTCCGATCGAAAATGTATGCAAACTGCTTAAAAAAAATCACGTTTTATAAATGCCTATCTTGTTTTTATAATTTTTAACTAATCCCCGTCAAACGAGAAGCACCAGACATTGAAACAACTAAAAAACTTTAAATTTACCTCGAGCTCGGTTCGCTCCTGATCGGTCAATTCTTGAACGAGCTTGCTGATTGGCAGGACGGTTCCGTTGATCTTGCAGCCTTCCAGGTAGACGCCGGTTTCTAAAAGAGCTGGGTTTAAACGTAACCGGAAATTAAACGCACCAACTAGCACGCTCAGACATCGCTCGATATTCTCGCGGACGCGATGCTCGACGGGCTTGTCGTCCGGTGACTGCTCCTCCAGTTTGGCGAGCTCGATGTGGTCGAATCTGAAAAAGGAGGGATAACGAGGCGGTGCCACATAAAAACGTTAGATTAGGAGGCCAAAACAAGGGACTTTTTTAGAGCTGATCGCACACGAAGTTCATACAGTTAGAAAATCGACCGGGACATGCAGCGAGCACGTTAGTGATGTCGAACAAAACGGTGAAAAATCCGTTTTACAAAATTTACAGGTAATTCATCGGAGACTTCTGAAGTTGAAAAGTGCCGATGAGCCATCAGAAGGAGCTCACTTCCAGATTGACCCGTTGGCCTTTGACATCGAGCAATAGTTGGATCGAGTAGTTAGATAGCCAGGATAAAAATAATACCTAGGACCATGACAACGATTAGATCTCAAACTAAGGATGGACCACGAGGGACAATTTTACGAGCCCGCACAACATCAAAGCCGCCAAATCGGCTCACTTCTACAAAAAAGCGACAGGACAGCACAACCAGCAACCGGACGCTCTACCTGAGATGTGGGACTGCCATCCCGGCCAACCCTCTCATCGACGAATACTGCGGATTCGCCCCAGCCAACGGGGCCGAAGAACCGGCCGGCGGATGATGAGCCCCGGCGGGCCCGGGACTCGAATCCTCAGCCGGTGGCGCGTGGTACACCTCGGCCACCGACGAGACAGCCGACAGCGGTCGAATCGGGATCGGTGCTGGTGGTCTGATGTTCAGGGTTACAAACCGCGGGGCCAAATTATTACTACGACTCACCCAACGTCTCACAAAAGTAAAAAGAAAAGGCTAGTCACCCCGTGAAACTTACGCACAGCCAGTGGCCGTTCATGCAAGGAGCATGCGGGGGCTTAAGGGGGTTAAGGCGCACGTCAAGCACGTGCTACGTGGCCGCCTATTTACGTTTGTGCCTGTCACTTGACTTATAATAGTCGTTTTTAGGAGGATATTGGAGTTTGGTGATGTGAAGTAAGCTCATTCGCTAGGCGTCCAAATTCCGAACAAGTCTTATTTTTCAAACATAGCCACGCTTTTAACAAATGACAATATGTAAAGTTTGCGAAACGTTTTTTAGCAGATCGCTAGCGTTCAGCAATTTTTTAAAAACAGGAGCTGCTCAAAATTTCAATCCATATCGATTGGAGTCACATCGCAAAAATCCAATATCACCGTCTTGCTAGTCTCCCTGCGTAATTAGGTGTCCACGTAGCACAGGTCTCGACATGTGCTTTCAGTTATCAACAGCTCACCGTGCCCGGCCGCCGTGCTGCAGGTAGCGATTGTACAGGTTGGCGCCGAGGATGTCCGACAGCGGGTTGTCGCTAAAAATCGACCTCCAAAAAATTCGTGTAAAACAAACCCAATAACGTAGATGGTCTTCGGAGCCGGGCGCTTCATGTCAAAAGCCATATCTTGAAGGCAATGCGTGGCGTGCAGGTAGGAAACTTCTGCTGGCTTGCCGAGCACCGCCTGAACGAAATTAGCAATACCAGCCTTTGGATCTCATCAAATACCGTATATTTCAAGTCCCTCCCCATTAATCTTGAGTACATCGCCTCCAGGCAGGTCAAAAAGCTGCCGTGACCAATTCTAAAAGTGTGTTCAACACATACAAGAAATTAGTAACCTCGGCAAATTGACGCCCTTCTCGGCCATCCACACCATGTCGACGTTGCAGGCGAGCAGCGGCAGATTCGAATGGGTGACGTTGCCACGCTTGTATTTGAGGCCGGCTAAAACATGCTTTGATTCCAGAGAAAGCTGACTATTACCGGGATCGCCGTCCGTGATCAGCACGTCCAATAGGAATTGTAACGCCGATTCCCAGTGCAGCGGTTCGCCCAGAAGGACGATAGCTAAAACAAAATATCCGTAAAAAGCCAGAAAAGTACTTAGTCTGGCTCAAGACATTTTAAACCATAAAACCAACCATCGATTGGGGCGAAATTTTTTGGTGGCGACCAGTTCAACTCGTCGAATCGTCGCCTCGAGAAGTCAACGCAGTCGAGGTGGGGGAATAAACCGCGCAGGTCGTCGAGGGTTATTACATTGTTGAACCCAAGGCTAGAAACCAATTTTTTAAGCTAAGGCTGAAACACCTACTTTTGAGCTATGGTATTTACAGGCCCCTGGCCGACGACGAGCACGTGCTTGTCATGGAATTGCGTAAACATCCTAAGCGGGCTGTGCGCCATAACTACTTGTTGCGGCCGAATCTAAAAACATAAATTTTTTCTGGATCATGGAAAAACTAGTCCCTCTATTCCTAAGTTCTGTGAAAGACGTTGCGCCTTGGCTGCCCGTAGTGAATTTGAACCGTTCGTGAGGAAAACCTAAGAAAAAGTTCACCAATTCGGAAGCAAAAACCTACCGTGGGAATTTGAAAAGAGCCGTTAGCATCGGTGAGCAATCGGAAGGCGTCTGGTACCCGAGGAAGGACATCGCGTCCGCGCAGCAGCACGCCATCAATATCAAGTACAAGGCCAAAAGGCTTTCCCTAAAAAAAGTACTATTTTCAAATGAAAAATCTCATGCCTCCGAGGGGATAGGCCGAGTGCTCTTGGAGCATGTTGGGACCGCTGTAAGAAGCCGTGATGTCCGCAAAAGGCGGAGTGCGCAGCGACTGTTCATCCCTTCTTATAGAAGCACAGTGCGCATTACTAAAATCAGCAATTAATTGGGATATCTAACGTAAAACGTAGAACGAAAAAGGTTTCAGTCAGGCAGCCATCAAAGAAAGGTCAAAGATGCGCCATAAAATCCAGCCGATAAGGGAGTCTCGTCTCGAGCCCCGTGACGGGTCGGTAAATCCTAGAGCTTCTACAGCATTTGATTCCCGGTCTATGTCGAAAAGGGCATCGTCTCACGGCGCGGACCGCATAAACAAAGTTCAGCCTCCCGGAAAAACAGATCAGCGCCAGTCCAAGCAGCGTTGCCGAAGGGTCGGCCCCACCCTCGATCAATCGCCCAAACTCGTTTCCGATCACTGGCACCTTCTCCCCGCAAATCTCGCCGACAAATCTTTTCAAAGGCATTGAACCCGCACGAAAATAGCGTCAGACCCTATAACCATTTGGCGCGGCACGACAAAGGCAATGGCGAGCTATTTATTAGCGACAAAACCAAGAAACAACATCGCGAGAAAATAGTGGAGCTATGCATTCGAAGGGGGATGGAGAGGAGAGAAGGCGAAAATTTTGGTGTGAGAGAGACACATAACAAGACAAGACGATCGTCTACAGGGTGAAGGACAAGTGGGGAGGAAATGGCGTGTTATGTTTTCTTTCTGATTTTGGCCCCGGCCAATCGGTCTCCCCCGGCCGGTGAGGCTAGCCAACCAACAACGAGACGCAGGGAACGAGAGTGGAGGGAAAAGAGTCGGCTGGTAGGAGGGTGGAGGGGCCAGCTGGCATGAAAAGAACCTGGGAGGGCGGTTAGAGTCAGAACCCGCGGGGATGATGTGCCCCCAGCAGAGCCCACAATTTTTCGGAAACGCCAATTTAAAGCCGAGAGCCGGGGGATACTTTTGCGAACGGGCCATGAGAAAGAGACGGCTCCTCCGGCTACACAGAAAAAACAGCAGCGCCATCACCACAGGAGGGTGTGCGACGATAAATAGCAAAAATTTAAGATTGAGCGAGAAAGAGGTACTGGAGGAAAATAAGAGACAATAGAAACAGGGATGAGGATCACATTTGCGTCAGCGCGTTACCCGAGAGCCGGTAGTGTAATTCGTAACGTTATTCTAAAAAAAGACGATAAAACTTAGAAAATGTGGCTCACCTAGATTTGAGTAACATCTATGGTACCATTGCTATCGAGGAATTCCTTCCAGCTAACATTCAAGTCGCTCGTTTTGATCAACGTCATCAAAATGAAGCATTCTCCAGAAGCCGGTTCCAATATCTGAAAGAACGACAACTTTCGTCAATAATCAAGTTGCCTAACCTCGAATTCGGCGCTATCTGGGTTGATCTGCGTGGGGAATTGCTTGACTTCACATACAAAAGTTTCCGTGCGGTTCGCGTTCCCTTTCTTCTTTCGCTTCATAGTTTCCACCTGAATCAAGGAGCGTTAAAACTTTCAAGAAGAACCTTTCAAAAAGAAGTTGAAAGCTTGAAATAGCAATACCTCGAGAACGAAGTTGAGGCCATAGTCCTTCAGATCAAATTTGGTGAATTTTCCATTGCTCAACAAACGAGAGGGAGACGACGGCTAGAATTCAAATAGAATTTTTTAAAGGAAAAAATCCGCACCTTCTTGAATATCTTGATGATGTCGCCAAAAAAGCTCTTGCGCCTTTTCAATCCTTGGGCTTTGAGCATCAATTGGACCTAAAAACACAGTTGTAGAACCGGAAGTTCAGAACGCGTAGAAGTGGCCTTATTGACGAAATTTCAGAATGACCAACCTTTGTGCCGGTATCCTTTAAAATTGACACTGTGACGGCACGGGCGCTTGGGTCTCCTTCGCTGCTTTCGCTCGATTTTCTAGACATCGTCGTCTCTAAAAAAGGGGTAAAATCTGAGACAGAAAAACGAGAATCAGAAAACATCAATCAAGAAAAGGTTTGTCATGGTGAATCAATGGCGATGCGCGAAACGGTCGCTAGGGTGCAACAAGGGGTCATAAAGGGAACGTGTATGGGGGCTTTTTACTAAAAGATGTGCATCCATCCGCGAGGATCGTTACGAAGCGACCTTCCCGAAGAGGCATCTGCGCCAGACCAGCTGGTAGGGCTTCCATAAAGCCGCTGGTAGTGGCTATTAGTCACGCAACCTTCCAATCAGTTTTATCGGTAAGAAAATGGCAAAAAATGAGGACATAAATCGAATAGGACGCTCTATATACTAGGATGGCTTCAATTTATAGCTGAGGGTCGAGCTCCTTGAGCCGGCTCAAAGTAGCATCGATCATTATACCGATTCCGCAAACAACGATCGATTAGTACAGGGTAGCTATTTGGCAACAACTAACTGACCCCGACAAAGAAATGCATCCAGGCCAGGCGGCTCCCTGAAATCACTTTCTTCAGGGCTGTCCCCGGGGAGGAGGGCCTGATAGAATTCAATATCCGGCCCAGCCGGCCACGACATGCGGGGGCCCCTTTCATGCCAAGAACGAAGAGGGGGCCCCCGAGGACAGCGCATAAATCATGAAGGCGTACACCAGCACGGGCGCTAAAGAAAATGGTTAGTCGTTCGTGATGAAATATCGGTTAGAATAGCCGACCCGATTCAACACAAGTGAACTCGAAACCAGGCCGCTGCGCATTTCGGATGCATTAGGGCATTAGGGACGGTCGAGTGAGAGTAACGGGGCGGGGCCGGAACAGCGCTACTTTGCCAGCTGGAGGTCGTCAATAATTGCCAAACACATGTAGCTTTCGTTCTCCACGTGCCCTTTCGGATAGGAACTAGAAAAACTAAATTAATGAAAGGCCGAGCACGAAATGACCGCATCGATGAACTGTATCGAGTGGTGTCAGTCGCGGCGCCTCTCAAGTACCCAACCCCCAATGAATCCCGCCGAATGCAACCCGAGACCAGGGCCTGCGCAGCACAAACAAGAGCAATGTGCTTCAATTCTTCTCCAAACTAAATATGAAGAGCGTCGGGAAGAATGGAGGACGGACCTATGAGTCATATTGCCAAAATATCAACCCACCCTAACGGTGGCTCGGCCTTTTCGGGAGCACGATGAATCATTGAAGCTGACGAAATCGATCAACAGGCTAAAGTAGCAAGCTAAAAAACAATAGAATTTCGATTGAAAGGTTTGGGGGCCGTTTTAGCAAAGGCAGTACGGACAGCGAAAGTTCGGTTTGTACAGAGCCTTGTGGTGACGAAAAGTATAAACCTGCACGCAAATATCAACCAGGACCAAACAGCCTAGCAGCGACGGCCGACGAGCATTGTTCACGCCCTATTGATTTAAGCGGACAGAGAAGCCCAGTTGTGCGTTTGAAGCTCGGAGCCAGGACACGCGAGCCGCATGAAATCGAGTAATTAGCCTCGTCACAGCAAAGTGGCGAGTGCGAAGATACAATTTGGAAAAGGCGCTTGTCGCAATGTTAGTTTTGAACGAATCGCTTCCAGCCGTGTGAACAGGCATCGAAGCGTGAAACGTGCTAGAAAGATGGATGGCCAGGTACCTATTACAACCGCTATAAGGGGGCCTCTCAGCTTGTCGCAAGAGATTGACTGGGTCAAGCCGGTTGTCCCTAGGAAGACACGAGGCTGATTAACAAGAGTTTTAGTTGCAGCATCCCCCGCTAAGGCAAAGGCAAGGAAATTGAATTGTGCCATGAGTAATAGGGAGGACAAAAAGGGTAGGTTCACGACCCTAACAGGATTAGCCGGATGTCTTGGTGCAAAATCGCGCAATGGGTCGATTCATCATCAATCAAGCCTGGGGCTGCCCCGCCTTCCTGCCAGTCACCCCGCCCCAACCGGTCGCCCATTTTTCAAGGGGCCACCGCACTGTCACCACCATTTTGGGGCACACCTGAGTAATTGGTTCCCGGGGCGTAAATGGGGCTCGATCGCGTCGGGCGATAACGATTCCAGAGTTGAGTGGTGACAGAGTAGGTCATTCGCCCGAACCCATCCCAGCCACCAATTGAGCACGAGCGGTTGAAAACAGTCGACAGAGCTGCAAAAGGTTTGCACAAGATTTCGATAGGCTAGAAAGAAATAAGGCTCCTACCGGGGAATGTGTGAATAGGTGTCGATGCTCAATAGGGGACGTGAGGATCCCCTCGAGGCAATTACCCCCAGCAAGCATTCATACAGCGCTGAGTGTGCAATGGGTCTGCCTGCCGCTCAAGGACGCCGGAGGAAACAACAAGAGATGTGGTATCCCAGATAGGTATCATGGCACCGCCCACAACGTTGGTTCATTTCGTGTGACCAGATTAGATAGACGCCAAACATTTATTCAGAAATTGTAAACAAAACGTGGTTAGAGTAAGATGTCGGTGTTCTGTAAAGTAACAAATACGTGTGGAGAAACAGCTTGGCTTCTATTCCATTTTCATTGAGGAGGCCTTCATATACTCATCGAGCTGGCGGTCAAGTTCTTCTTGGGACAGCTTCTTGGGACCGCGACCATCGTTGCGCCGCTTCTTCGGACTGGCTTGCTCCGGTGACGTTTCCTAAACACAAATGAAAGCTGTAGAGTAAGTCAAACCCTGTGGTCATGTTCATCCATGAAACGATTCGTACGTGAAGCGGAGTGCTTCTTGATGCGCCCGGTAACGGAACGACGCAGTTTGCCGCCGGTCGCTTTACGTGGCAGTCTAAAGCAAACTTCGAAGCCAATGTAGGTATCCGAACTTGACTCGATCATGAATAGTTCCGGAGGTGTGCGACGTCGGGACCTATATGCGGATTAGCAACAAAAAACACGCTGACCACTGTTATCTGGATCGGCTTGCCATCAATAGCCGTATTCTTGTATTTCGCGCTGAACTCGTTGGCCTTTGCAGCACTAGCGTGAAACTAAATTAGGAATTGTAGGAAGGATTCGTGGCAAACCTCAGCCGTTCCGAGCGGAGTCCCATTCTGATCATAATGAACGGTGGCCGCACTGCCATTATAGGGAGAGATGAGCTCCTCCAAGTCGTCTTGGGTCACAAAGCGCGACAGGTTGTGTAGTAGGACACGTGCGCGTTCACGTCCCGATTTGGTTGGCGACATTTGTAGCTTCCGGGCAGAGCCGCCTAAAAAGCAATTACTAGTGATCGTCAAAATCCTAACGTGTTTTCGAAGAAGAAGCACTGGTTCCAGGACTGTGGTACATGTCGTGCTCCCAACGGCCCTCGATGCCACCACGACTGCTACGACCGCCTGAGCGTTGACGCCTAAAAACAAGTTACATCGGGAAATGGTAAAGTTTGGCAAATGGTTGGCAACAAGAAATATGACATACTTCAAAGCCCTATCTCGTCTCGTTATCTCGTCGAGTGTCTTGTTCACGTCAAAACGGTCGCTCGACTGCATGCTGGTAGGATGGATGGTCGGATGGAGGTTTTGCTGAAAAACCAGAAGAGAGAACGTTTCGCTCCGCGGGGCGAGGCCGACGCTGCGGGACCCGGCGTACAGCGGAGCGTAGCGGAAAAGCCTAAATATTGATTTTTGTGAAATAATTAAAAATTTTAAAATTTTAAAAATTCCTGATTAAAATAATTAGAAATGCTTTTTCTACGTTTCACGCTCGCTTCATTATTTTTCCCGTTTTGTAAAGCGTTTTGGATGGGGATGATGAAACCAACTCTCTTCTTTGCCACCTGAAGTCAGCCTGGTTTTTGCTGCCGACCAGAACGCAGAGACCGGTGATGCCGGAATCGCCTTCGGAGATAAGAAAACCCGACGGCTTCCCGGTCATTAGCTTCTGCGGCCTGGTATGGGGCGGCTCCTCGTGCTGTGGGCCTTTTTGGCGGTCGGGCTTGCCGACGAGCTTATCCAAGTCAATTTGGTATTCAAAAAACCCATTATTTCCAGCAAAATGTTTAGTTATACCGGCATGGAGACCGAACGCCGATTTACACCTATAAAGGCGACCCTAACGTGGATAAATGGGGGCTTCCGGGTGGAACGTTGACCACGGTTTTTTCTACACAGAGCATCAACATTTATTTAGACTGGGATGCAACAGCAATTCTTGCAAGGGCAACGGCTGAAGAAGCGGTACATTGATACTTTGAAGTTTATCAATGCCACCTATGATCCGACAGAGGTTTGCTCATACAATGTCTCCCTCAATTTTGGCTCAAATTTTCAGTTGTACGCTCGATCTGCTGATACGCCCAGATGCATTCAGTCGGCCGCGTCGAATTTGGCCGCTTTTTACAGCGGAAGCACGCTGCATCCGCAGATTGATGTAAAAAAAAGCTATAATAACGTTTTTTTTTTATTAAAGGAAGGGTGGCAACACGAAATTTAGGGTTGGCCAGTCAACTGGATGCCGTACCCTATTCACTCGGTCCCCGGGCCGGAAGACACGGTAGGCGAGAAAAAAACTACAAAACCGGTAACTTCATAGCTCGACGAGGAGGGCCCGCACGATTTGCAAACGCATCGGCCTGCTCAGAGGACGTCGGGAGAAGGATACTGGTTATGTGCAGTACCTTTTGAAAAACCAGGTATAATTACTGGCTGAAGAATTAATGCTGGAAAGCAGGAT